TGGGCAAAGGTTGGAGGGAAGGCCCCTGGCTCACTTGTGCTCTCCCTCCCCAAGTGTAGTTTGATTGCAGGCGGACCCACGTTGCCTTTCCAAACTTGTAATCAGTGAAGCTGGGCTGGATTTTTATATAGTTTTATCCAGCTATGTGTGTATGTGAGAGAAAAATGGATAGGGTCCTGGGAAGGAAGTCACTACACTTGGGGAGGGAGAGCACAAGCAAGCCAGGGTCCTTCCCTCCAGCTTTTGCCCAAAGCCTGCACAGCACCAGGAGGATGAAGTTTGAATTCCTCCCTCTCCCTCCAACCCAGCCATACCTTTTCCAGCTGCTTCAGAGAGGACTTCAACTCTGCTCTTGCCTTGGGTCCTCTGAAGAAGCCCTGCCCAAATGAGCACCCTCTACTATGAGGCAGGAGAACTGTGTGCCTCACCTAATCTGAATTTTTAGGCGTTTTATGATCACTTAGCACAAGAAACACGCTCCACACATAGCGATCATAAAATGCCTAAAAAGTCAGACTAGGTGAGGCATGCAGTTCTCCTGCCTCATAATAGAGGATGCTTTTTTAGAGGCTTTTTTAACAGTTAAGCAGAATCATCCATGGTGAGGCAGCAACTAGCTCAGCTTTTTCCTTTTACATTTTTTTTCTTTTCATGATGAGAGCGGTGAGGCTGTGCCTGACTTTCCTCACCTGACTGCACGTCACTGCAGCAGTGATGGTTAATTCTTTTGGTGCCAAGTGCCCAAAGCGCGAATGTGTGCATGTGAATGCATCCATGTATGCCCGAACTCCAAAATGCAATGTGAGCAGTGGGGGCTGCTCATGTGCCCAGCCCTCCCGCATGCATCCCCTGTGCTCCATTTTGGGCCTGAAAGCCTCCTGCACCAATCCAGAAGCCAAAATGGGGCGCAGGGGTAGAGCTGTGGCAGGAAAGAGGCAGCAGTGGCTCCTCCTCCACCTGCCAGCCTTGCACTCCGGGCAGCAACCAACCAATCAGCCAGCCATGCCTGGCCTCCCCCTGTGGCAGGCCACATGGATCCTGGCCTTTCCTGCTGATGGTGGCAGCGAGGTAGGCAGGCAGGCGGGCACAGGGGAGTGACTGGCAGCAGCGCTCCTTGCTGGCAAGGAGGTGGATGTCTGGGGCTGCATGTAGGTGTCGACAGCACGGCTGGTGTGCATGTGCACTAAGAGGAGCTTTCCAGTGGGCATGCATCCACTGGGAAATGAACCTCTCGTTTCTGGCACACGCATGTGCCAGCTAGTTTTCTGGTTACTGGCGCACATGCACACATGACAATCAGCTGGCTGGCTGATCTTCCAGTTTCTGGCACTGCCACACATGGAAGGCCAGCTGATCATTGAACGCACATGTGTAGCAGAAGCCGGGAAGAGGAAAAGGCGACGTTGTGCATGCCAGGCGACATGGCTCTGCGTGTCACTTCACGCCATATTTCACCATCATGGTTATAGAGTTTCTGCTTAAGCAGGGGGTTGGATTAGAAGATCTCCAAGATCCCCTCCAACTCAATTAATCTTTTTACCCCCATCTTTACTTTCCTTCCATGCTTACACTAACCTTATCATTATTTATACTTAGCAATATGCAGGCTTATTACAAAGATCACACTCCTTTTCACCCGTCTCAAACCTGAGTCAAAACACATGATCACACATTTCTCCTCCAACTCCCCTCCCAAAACTGGAAAAAATTAAGAGATAATTACTACTCTCCAAGGAGATAATTTCATGAGCTGTGAGTATAATTATTACAATAGTGGCATTCCTGGGGAAGGTATAGGGAGCAGATTTTAAGCAGGATAATTTTATTTATATGGAGAAATTGGGACTTGAAGTATTTTGTGATTGGAGAAACCTGGATAAAATGTCAAACCAATTAAAATATTGACATAGTGAGTCTGGACACTTTGTAGATTATGAGTAAAAAATATTTGGATCAAAAATTCAGTCCTTTGGGCACTAGGCTCAAAAGAGAAAATAGGTGGAAAAGAATAAAAAGCATTTACTTTTAAAGCATATTAAAGATATTGCAATTGACAAATTGTTTCAAAAAGATCTGGAAGAAGGCATATAATATGATATTTATCACAATGATCCAATTGGTTTTTAAGGAAAATTGATATACTTAGGCAAGTATACAACCATTTTATCCCAGTGGAGTTTTGAAAAAGATTTTAAAAATTGCAAACTAAAAAAAAAGTAGATCTGTTCCAGAATTTGGTAAAGTTTACTTGAATATAATAGCAGTGGACTTATATACCGCTTCATAGGGCTTTCAGCCCTCTCTAAGCGGTTTACAGAGAGTCAGCATATTGCCCCCAACAATCTGGGTNCTGTGAACCTCTTAGAGAGGGCTGTAAAGCACTGTAAAGCGGTATATAAGTCTATGTCCTGTGGCTATCTGCAAGAAAGCAAGCACAGAACATACCAAGGAGCCCTGCTGCAGGAGTAGGATGGAAGTAAGCTAAAGGAATAGTGGATTAACCCTTCGCATTTTCCAAAACCAAGCAAGAGGAAGGAAGCCTTCTTCTTAAGACCATCTGGTTTCCTTCTGCCTCTAAGGCTGCCTTGAGGCATGACTATATCTATATACTCTTGCACATATTTCCCTATAGGTAAGTCATGTTGAACTTGGTCTTGTTCTTTGCTGAGTGGCTTCTGCTAGAGGCGAAAGAACACATGTGTACTAGAAAAGAAGTGTGCGATGAAACATTTATGTCCTGGCCATTGGGAGTGATTGAACTGGTATTCTTGACTGGAGCCTGCGTTTGGAAGGAGCGAGGTGAAACAATGCTCTTTATTTATTTTAAGCAGCATTAATTCCACTTGTGGGTTGCAAGACGGGAGAGAAAAGCATATCCATTTTTAATGTCAGCATCAAAGCAAAATTTTGAAAGTGTGGCTAGTTCTCTCGACCTTCTGTTGCAGACCTGGTGATGCTTTTGTTAACTGACACAAACCTTGTTGAAGAAAGCAGTATAAATCTATATACACTGTGAGAAGGGAGTTTAATACTCCACTATTAAAGGGGCCGAAGCTTACTTTTGGGGCAAAGTTTTGCTTCTTTCTTAGTGGCAATGAAAATGAGATTCGCACCTTCTTTCACTCATGGTGGTCATGCTCCGAAACGAAAAGATATTGGCTGACTATACGTTGCAGGATTTAACTATATGTCGAATAGAATTCAAACCGGAAATGTGTCTCCTGGGGAGTATAATAGAAAGTTGAAATACTAGATGTTACATATAATAACGGCAAGGATTGCTTTTGTGCAATATTGGAAGAAAGATAGTATTCCACCAGCGGGATTAGTAATCCAAAAAAAATATTTGATTGTGCAGAAATGGACAAATTCACGTTAGAGTTAAAGGGAAAGGATGACTCGGAATATTATGCGGTATGGGAGAAATTGTATGAATCAGTGGTGGGTTCTGGGCGGTATGGCGCGGTACGGGCGTACCAATGGCTGCTGGGAGCAGCGACCACCGTACCGGAACGGTGGCTTGTTGGGACCACTCGCCCGCCTGCCTGCGTTCCTTACCACTTTTTGAGTGAAATAGGCCACTTGTGCACACGTGCACATGTACGGTGCCTGCGCAACCTTCGCCGAGCAGCTGGGGCATCACAGGGTGATGGTGTGCGCATGCCTGTATAAGAAGCAATTGGTGGTAGTGGGGAAGCTTAGTGGTGGTTGGGGAGGAGGGATGGGGAGAGAGGATCTGTGTTCGCCAAGCAAAGATGGGAGCCCCTGTGCGATGCTCGGCTCCCAACTTTATTTCTTTTTTAATCCCCAATATCCCTCCTTGAAAAGATAATGTTAAACATGACATGCTGGCTTATTTGCCTAGGACCATGATGGCGAACCTATTGCACACATGCCACAGGTGGCACACAGAGCCCTCTCTGTGGGCACACCAGCTGTTGCCTCAGCCCAGCCCCACTGTGCATGTGCGCGCCGAACGCTGACCAGCTGGTGTTTGGGTCTCTGCTGTGCATGCGCAGGCGGGGCCTTCCCTGATTTCAGCAGGTTCCCTCCCAGCCAGTGGTGGGTTCTGGATCCCATTCCAACCGGTATGGTTGGAACGTGCCTGGCGGCATCCACATGAACATGCACGCACATGCGCGCAGTGAGCACATGCGTCTTAGCGCCTGCGAGTGCATGGATGTGCCAGAGACTTAAAAGACCGGTAAGGAGCTGGGGCAGGTGAGTGGGCCCTCCGGAGCACCATACCGGAACGGTATCCGGTGCTCTGGGCAGGCTCCAGTACGCCCATACCGGGGCGTACCGCCTGCAACCCACCACTGCTCCCAGCACACCCTACTCTTCTCCTGCATTTCTGCTGCCTGTGCCTTCCCCGATCAAGTTGCCCCCTCCCCAGTGTGCCCTACCTTTCTACTCCATTTCTGCCACCCGCAACAACCTGGAAGCCAAAATGGGGTGCTGGGGGGTGGGGGTAGGGCGTATGCACTGGTAAAGTGCATGCGTGGGGAACGTGCGTGGATGCGTGGGACTGGGGCGCATGCACCGGGGGCACTGCCATTACATTTTGGGGATTGGGGCACAAACGCGTGCATTTGTGTGCACACACACGCTTTGGGCACTCGGCACCAAAAAGGTTAACCATCACTGGCACTAGGATCTTAATCTCTGCCGCTTTCTCTTCTCTTTTTTCCCCATCCAGGATTCCGTTCAAGATCGGGCAGCCTAAGAAACAGATTGTACCCAAGACAGTGAGTAAATCAGTTTTTCTCATCCCCCCTCTCCTTCTCTCCTTTTTTTTTTTTTTTTTGAAAAAAAGAATCTTGCCTTTGATCATATGGCTGATGACTCAAGCCAGCACACATTAACCAGCCCGCTTTTAATATGTTTATAGGCGTGTGGGTGGGAGGAAAAAAAAAAACCCATGAGTGAGCTGAAATTGCTTCTCTTTGGCCATGGCTCTCTTGACTGAGGGGGAGTCTCAGCGCCGGGTGGCTTATTTTGGTATCTTCTGGATCTGTGTCCCTGCTCCTTTCTTAGCACCCCACTCCTCCTCCCCTGCCTGTGTGTGTGTGTGTGTGTGTGTGTGTGTGTGTGTGTGTGTGTAGAGGAGGGGCCTGTGTCGCTCTGGCATGATTTTCCTAGGAGATGGTTGAGCAGGCTTCCTTCCTTCCTTCTTTCAGCTGTGTGGCTTGTTTGTTCCTCTTCTTTTTTTTCCTTCGGAGCAGATGGAGATGGAGGCCTGCTTCGTCTTACTGAATATAACTGTTTCCGAAGGCAGGCTTATTAGAGGAAGCATGAAAATGCTTAGTGCCCGGGTGTGAATTCATTTGGATTGCAGAGGAGTAGTTGCTTTAAAAAGGCATTTTAAGACACACACATACACCCAGTACACCCAGTTTCATATTATGGAGGCAGCCTAATTGTCTTACCTTGAAGCAACTGGCACAGGGCATGGGGTATTCACTCACACACACAAACACACACACACACACCGAACTGATTGCAAACATGGACCTTTGTGTGGTGTTTGTGCAACAAAGAAATCCGTCTGTAGAGGAGGCATGGGAAAGCTGTAGCTTTCCAAATGTTGCTCAGCTACATTAGTCATGCTGGCTGAGGCTGAAGTAGCATGAAGTTGCAGGAAACCCCCCACCCCCCCAGGTCTTTTGAAAAGGTTCCCCTAGTCCAAGGTTCAGCAATCTTAAATACTCAAAAGAGCCACAAAGGTCCTAACCGGAAGCCTCCCCCCCCCCATTCAATTCTGGAGCCAACCAGAAGTCAGATTCCCCCACCATAGAGTCTCCTAGTGTGGTGTCCTTTTTCCTCTACCTGTCTTAACCGAAAGCCCTATCAATTGTGGAGCTGACCAGAAAACCCGTCCCTTGCCATAGTGTC